AATAAAGTCTTTCTCTGTTTTGCAGTGGCATTTTTTAGTCCCTGCCAGGAAAGCATGCCTATCAATGTTTTTCTACACTTAAAAAGCATTCTGGAAAAAGTTCTAGAAAAGTGCTAATTGACAAATGCTTAATGAGAATTAATTTAGGTTTACAGAAAAATCTTGGCCTTCCTTTTTGAGCTGTACTGCCCTCTTTGTGACCGTCTGACTAGAAGTGAGGTACGGGACTGAGCTGTAACCGCAGCACTCTGTTTCTGAACCCACAGGTAGTGCCCGCTGCGCCGAGCTGACTGCCCCGCTGCCCGGTGGACACCTGCCCCTGCCAGGTGAGCAGAACCGGACTGAACGGTCTTTGCTGCCCCTTCAGCGTGGGACAGCAGCCGCCACGGGCAGGAAAAGGATTTTGGTGCTTTGTGCAGAGGTTAACTTGAGCATAACCATTCTAAATACAAAGCTATTACATTTGCAGAGGGAAAAACATTCTCCTGGGTTTTTTGAGTAAGTCAAAGCTGTGGAGCTTGGTCCAACAGCTCTCCTGTCCAGAGCAACCTCGGCATCCAGGGGGATTAGAAACAGATTCCTACCTCGCTACTCAGCAGCTGGGCCCTCTGCACAGATGCACCTTTTGTCCTTATTTCTTCACTCCGGCTGACTACGCATCTTCTCAGCTTGAGGATGAAACTGCAAGCTGCTTTGCGCCTCTGGATTTCCAGAGGCCAGCGAGGCCCTAGGGTTCCCTGTCCCTGTGGGGTCTGAACGGTTGTTCTTGCCTTCTTGGTTTAACATTCTGTTGAACTCCTTAATAAACTGCTTGACGCAAAGTCCTGCAGTGAGATCACTAAGGCCTTTCTTCTGAAAAGTTGTCAGAAAAAAATATTTTAGTAGTTGTTTGACTAATATAAGCCTTCTTGTAGGAAGGTAAAAGGATACTGCCAAAAAGGGGATAGACTAGAGAGTGCTTATGGCAAAGGACACAGCGCAGAACTGTAATGTACAAACCTGTTAATGGTTCTGGGGTCAGTTTGCTGCTGCGTCCTAGGGAATAGTCAGCTTAGAAATTTGGGGTTGTATTTTGAAATTTCCCTAAGGGCACACAGTCTTGCAAACAGTATGAGTTCAGAAATGAGCTGGGGTTGTCTGGCCAGTCCGTATGGGTAAAGTGTATGAGACATGAGAGCTGGGCGTTCTGTGTTGCACTCGTGTGACATTCAGAAGCCTTTTGGTGAGATGAACGTTTCCTGTCGTGAGTGTGGAAGCACGGTATGTTCTGTCAGAGAAGGGAAGAAGCCATTGAAAGCACTTTGGAGATGTATACTGATGGCTGGGCGGCTTCCGCAGCCTGGCACTGACCTCCTTGGAGGGGAAGCGGAGGGAAGGCTCACAAATATTTTTCTTTTTACACAACTAGTGAGCAAGTGGAATTTGAAATTAATTTTTAGCTAAACAGTAGTATACTGCATTTTTCATTCAAGTTACAACACTGTCAAGTTTCTTACCTCTATTCCATTTCTTCTTCTTGTTATTCTTCTAGGTCTTTGCTTTTTCACTTCAAGATGTTTTTCAGATTTGGTATTTGTCATGCTTTCCAAGATCCCCAGCATAACCTGAATGTGTGGCTTTTGCCAGGTCTGTGTGTATAATGAGGGCTGTGAAGTCAGGCAAAACAAAATCTAATTTAAAAACAAAATAATTTGTCCTATTTTTCTTATAGATATACTGTCAGAAAAGACTAGTAGAGGAGGCTGTTCGGATGTGCAAGCAATACTACAGCACTGTCAGCTGAGTCCTGTGCAACATTTTATATATTGCTTAAAAGTTGGAAGGCTGAGATGACACACCTTGGGGGTTTTTTTTTGATGTTGTATGAAATTGAGAGGTGAGCCCTGTCCTGCTGTGCTCAAGGGAGGCAGAGGCTTCAGGCAGCTCCTCAGTCTTGGTGGCGGACAGGTCAGGAAGGATGTGGCTCATGTCTGTGCACCCCAGGAAGTTCAGTATTTCTCACCTGTGTGTGTGTGACAGTCCAGAACAGCTCGTCTCTTCCTTTAGAGTGTTGGGAATTCACATAAGAGACTGTGAGCTTTATATACCAAATACATATTTGATATAAAATACCAATCTAAGGCAGAGTGTGGAAGTAAGTCCTCATTACTGTAACTGTGTTTCCTAAGAACAGATTCTAGTTAGGGCTCCCGTGCTTCACACCCAGCAGTCTGCCTCGTAACCAGTTTCATGTACGCTTAGAGCACTGGGGGGCAAAAACCATAATGTCCTTGGATGCTGTAGCTGTGGCTGATCTCCTTCCCCACCTCTTTCTAATTTATGTATGACCTGGTTTTTCCCATCTCAGTGCCCCGACTCTGCAATTTTGGCTGAGTTTGTAAATTGATAAAAACTTCTGGCTTCAGCTGTAACCAGACCCTGTTCTCAAAGGAAAGCCTGTCCAGGTTAGTGCTGTCTGGGGGTGGCTCTGGACGAGAGCTCGCTGTTTAATGCTGCAGAACTTGTTTGTGTTCTGCACTTTCAGCAGTTCTCGTCTGTAACAGCCCCAAGGAGCAGACACACATGCATTACAGCCAAAATTCTCTGAGCCAGCAGCAGCAAGGAGTCAGCTCTAAGTATCTTGCTCTGAGAAAAGCCATCTCTTTGCTCTTGGAGCTCTGTTGCAGGCGTTGTGCATAACCATGCTGTTCACCCCAAAGCCCTGCTCTGAACAGTGCAGTGGGACAGGTTACTGAGCCCTCTCTGGACCGGTGGCAGCAGGGAGGGGAGTGTAAAGCTTTCATTTCAGAGCCTTCGGTAATTACAAAAAAGATACGATATTCCTCGGCTCAGGAACCTGACTAGCATGCTGTACCTAGACCAGTGTTTTTTTTTTTTTTTTTTAAACCAGCTCCACCCTTTTAGTAACTTGATGATGTGCAGTGTAATTTGATAGACTATGGCAGAGATGCAGCTCTCAGCAAGCTGGCATCGAGCATGCAGTTGTTAGCCAGGTCAGCTGCTGTACTGATGTCAGAGATAGCAAGAAGCTTGTTAATGAGGCACGTGGGTGTGATCCAGGCGTTCCCAAAAGCAAGCTGTGGTGACAGGCGCAGCAGCAGGGTTCCCCAAGAATGGTCAGTGACTGGCTGCTGTCTCTGTATTCTCTGCAGAAGGTCTACAAGTGAAGCAGCTGGATGAAGGGGGGGGGAACAATGCAGCAGGCACGGCCTCAGTGTGGCTGATGGCTCTGGGTCACCAAGGATTTGGCTGGACGGGAGTACAGGAGGTCAGTGAAGGGGAGCACTGAACAGTAACTGCATTCCCAAAGTCCTCACTTCTTGCAGCCAGCACCCCTACAGCTCCTGTTCTATCCAAGTGGCTGCAGAGAGCAAGAAGTGTAACTTTCACCGACAATCACAGCTATGAGCCTACAGAACATCAAAGTGGCTGAAATCAAGCTAGAACAGTGTCTGTCACTCCTCAAAGCCCTCCATAATTTACAACACAGTCACTGTCATTAGAACGGTTTTCCAGTAAAACCTGCTGAATGCAGGGCCTGGCTCTGGGTCTGTTCATCCTTCGGGTTGTGAGAGCAGCAAGGAGAAATTCAAGCCTTCAAAACCTTGCCCCGACATGCTGTTGTCCTGTAGCGCCCTGCAAAGGCATTATTTATCCTGCTGGGACAGCTGCACTAGCAAAGAGCCGCTGCACCTCAAAGCGGGTCCAACTGGTGCATGCAGGTCCTGCTAGTTTATGCTCCTGTGTCTTGTGACTGGAAGACAACATTCTAAATCAATTCACAGCTGCATTTAAAAAAAAAAGTGGGAAGTGGTGATCCTTTAAAAATCAGGTTTTATTTGTCTTCTCTCTTATGTGTAACAGAATCCTGCTGTTTTTCTCTCCACACAAATTAAATAAATGGCACCACAGGAAAATAACCATTTACCTCTAGTGGACTCATCATTTGGACAAGGGGGTGGACCATACAGACTGCAGTCTTAATCCTCTCCATCTTTTCCTGAGTTTACAGTTTTTCTTTTGGCTGTTGAATCTTCTAAGTTTCTTGCCAAAGATAACAGATTGAGGATATGTGCTACTGCTAAAGCTTCCTGGTAAGGTTTTCTGTGTCATCTGTTCATTTCCTCGTTGTTGCCCAAAACACACAGAGATTAAAGGCTGTTACTGCTACTTCTTGCACTTTCTTTCCTGTTGGGTAGTTGTTGATTAAAAAAAAAACAACTGCTGTAAAAGTAGCTTTGGGAGCAGGGGTTTTTTGGTGGTCTGTGGGTTGTTTTTTTTTTTTTTAAATCCATCTCAGGCATTGCAGCTTTTCTGTCCTTTCCTTTTACACCTCCATCTGTAAGTGGCTGAGTGAGCAGGCTGCTGGAGGCTGCTGGCTCTGCTGGGCAAGATCAAGGGATTTTTCCTGAACTTTGTTTTTACATCTACACAGACACCAACCACAGCCTGTGCCAAGAGCCCTCTGTGCGTAGGTAACACCCGTGTCCTCCCCCTTGGCTACTCTCCTGCTGTAAGGAGGGAAAAGTGCCCTGCTGCACGGGTTACCTCAGCACAGCCTGTACCCAATGAGGAGCTCTCACAGCTTCATCCCACACCTGAAATGAGTTAGTCTGATCACAAGAGGCAGTGTAACCCACAGCCTGGAGCAGGGCACAGGGGTCACACTTTGGCACTGGTAATGGAGACAAATCCTTACAGGAGGTGGCTGGAAAGCATGCAGGGAGAGCTGCTGACTTAAAGGAACAGCAAAAAGTCATTTTGCCAGTAGCAAACCAAACCAATGCTCCGGTTTAGGAAAAGACCTATGCTCCCCTCCAAGGACGGGCTGCCTCCTCCCTCCTGCACTTACAGCCCTCACTTACAAACCTGGATCCGGCCTTCCCTGCACTGTACTTTGTCCAAAGAAGAATCGGCACATTTTTGACAAGAGGGTCAGTTACTCAATGGTGAGGAGAACTTCCATCATTAGCCTGGTTCAAGAAGGCCAAGGAGGCACTTTGGGGCGGTGTCAGCTGCGGTAGGCCTTCAGCAGTTGACCTGCTATCACCAGTCTCTGGATCTCACTGGTCCCCTCATAGATCTCGGTGATACGAGCGTCACGGTAATGGCGTTCTGCTGGCATCTCTGTCACATAGCCCATCCCACCCAGGATCTGGATGGCCTGAAACAAAGGCAGCAGGTTAGAAAGGAAGCAGGATCAAAGAATTTGTTTTCCCCAGACCACAGCCACCTTAAAAGGCACTAAGGCCATGGAGGGTGGGGGGGACGGGACACAGGGGATGACTGCAGCCCAAATGGAACAAACACGATTGGAGCTGTGCAAGAGCAATGCTGATGTCCCAGACAAAGAATCAATCACTTCAGAGGCACTTGTTAGTGAGCCATGTTCAGCTGAGACACTTTTATTAAGGGCAGGGGAAAATAAATGCAGACAGCAGAGGCTCTGCTCCATCTGGTCACTAAGTTGCAAACATACTACTAGTCCTGACTGGTGCATCCATGCGCCCTCCCGCATCGCTGATCTCGCTCAAAACTTTGACCTTGCCCTGCACAGCAGCAAGCCCAAGAAATAATACAGCTGCCACAGGCCAGCATAAATCCCCACACGCACCCCTCACCCCAAAATCCACCAACATGGCTGTGCTAACCAGCTTCAGCCATATGGGCTTGACTAAAAAAAAAAAAAAAATCTAGTCCATTCCATCCCACCCTCCCCAATCACCTGCTGTGTGACACCCAAGCTCCCTTTCAGCATGCTGTGTATCAGAGATGTCAACTGAAGCAGTTACCTGATGAGCAATGGCTGTTGCAGCTTCTGATGCAGCCAGCTTGGCCATCGCCGCTTCCTTTGGGGAAGGAAAACATCACTGAGGGTGCAGCTATCACAAAAAAAAAAAAAACAACACCTCACCTGCACAATGAGCTTGAAGGCTCACAGACCAGCTGTGCAGAGAGACAGGCCTGATCGTTGGTGCCCGCTGACAGTGGCCACCCCTCTCCCCTTGGCTAAAACCCAACCTTGAGACAACAGAGCCCACCATCTGCTGTGGGTTAAGCACCAACAGCGCTGGCTGGGCAGGCGCTGAACACAGCGACGCTGTACATTGCGCGGTTCCCTTGTCTTGAGCCTGTGCCCAGCACTGTCACTGCCAGACAAATGCAAGGTTGGAAATACCTTTGTGAAGGGCTTCCCATTGTCTTTCAGCATGGCGGCTCTCCAGGTCAGCAAGCGCGCACCCTCTAACGCCAGCGCCATGTCGGCTAGCTTAAACTGCAACGACAAACACAGCCTTTGTTCCAGGTGGTGGCCTCTGCCCCCACAAGGACATACAGCAGAAGTCTCCCACCGCTGAGGCCAACATTGCTGGAAAAGGAGTGCCTCCATTTGACCAGTTTTAACGGTGTTTGAAAACAGAAATTATTGCCTTGTTTATCCCAGACAGTGCAAAGTGCACTGTGTGCCTGAACCCACGCCCTAGAGTCCACGTGAACTTTCCACCAGCAATGTTTGGAACAGCCCTGTCTGCGTAGCTCGTACCTGTACTGCCTGTAGCTTTGTGATGGGCGACCCAAAGGCCATTCTCTTTTCAGCATAATCCACAGCACAGTCCAGAGCTGCCTGTGCTATTCCAAGAGCCTGTGAGGCAATACCAATCCGTCCTGCATCCAGCGTTTGCTGCGAAAAATACAAAATATATGTCTTAAAAGTCAAGTCATACTTGATCAAAACTAGTGCACTTGCATTTCTGCTCTTGCTGGGAAGCTGCTGTAGCCTTAGTATCCTCTGGTCAGACCTCCTTGGTTCAGAGCATTCCTGGTTATGCAGGAACAGAGCAATTTAAAATGTACTCGGTACTGCAGAGAGAGGCCAGGGGTACAAGGGAAGCCGAAAGGAGAGGTAATGCTTCTTATTAGCTGGGGAAAAGTAAGAGGGGGTGCAAAATAAGGTAAACAGCACAATGAGGAACAGCTGCTCTGACGGGCTGAAAGAACCCTTCAGCTGGACGTCTGGCTCACTGTGCAGCTGATTTTACTTTAACTGAAAAAAAAAAAGAAATCTGGTCAGTTTTCCTCTTTGCCCTCAACATTACTACACACACTGAAGCAAGCATTTTTCAAAACGGCTAGTGAATTGCATCAATAACCTGACTTACCTCAAGCACTCTCCCATTAGGCTTTTAACTGCTTCCCTGCCTCACTATGCACAGGAAGAATTTACAGTACAGTGAGAAAAGGCTCCATCTTCTCAATCCTGGGATGTATCTTAAAAAAGCGGTTGGTGACTGATGCGTTCTTTTAGTTGCAGACATAATGGAAAGGGCTGGAGCTCAGCCTTTTTTCAGTCAGGCCAACAAATGGTGTTTTGCTCCTACAGAGAGAGCAACGAACACTTCCAAAGGGGAGTGTGTCACTGCAGGGAACGCGCTGTTCCGTGCTGCCTGGCTCCTCCTCAGAAATCACACACGTGGCGTAACTCAGATTTCATCCACCTTTAGACATTATCCAGAGGTTGTCCTGTGCCTCCAGGACAGCTTTCCTCTGCCAAAGTATTTCGGGAAAATGCCATGTCTTCCCTTTATCTGCAGGTACAAACTGAGGAATAGAGGGCTGGGAAAGGAAAAAAACTAAAATACACCACCCCTACTGACACAGCACCTCAGCAGCATCGGCATTCTTTCATCTGAGAACCACTGTGCTGAGTCTAGAAAAAAGCACTGTCAAGGATCCATGGTAAATTAACAATTCATCAAGCTCTGTGAATGATTTCTCCCATGCTGGCGAGAGGGGTCAACTGCTTAATGTTACACAGAACAGCTTATGCTAGTGATTCTCAGCAACGTGAGCATAAGGCTGAAAACGGTTTTGAAAATGGTAAGCTTGGGAACTACAGCTTTATACAACCACAGCTGCACCCCCATCCATCTCTTACCATGGCGATTTTGAAGCCCATTCCCGGCTGCCCCAGGAGGTTGGCCTTGGGTATCCGACAGTCCTCAAATATCAGGTTGGCAGTGGAAGAGGCTCGGATTCCCAGCTTGTCTTCTTTCTTCCCCAGTGACAGCCCAGCAGTTGGCATGGGAACCAGGAATGCGCTAATGCCCTGCAGCAAGACACAAACTCTTAGGAATGGTGCCAACTTCCCACTTACCTGGCTGTCAACATTTTTCATGGAACATTTGCTAGGTAACCAGGAGAAGGGAGGGGTGAGACAAGACAGAACAAAGCCAGCGCCCATCAGTCCCCCTCTGCTCAATGCCTGCAGAGCTCTGAATAGAGAGTCCCCAGAACGCTTTCAAACTGCTTCCCCTCTGTAACTACTTTACTCCTGCACCTTCTTCCTGACTGACCCCCTGAACGCACCTTGTGTTTCAGGGATTTATCTGTAGTAGCAAACACCACGGCGGCCGAGGCGTCCCAGGCGTTGGTGATCCAGGCCTTGGTGCCATTCAGAACCCACTCGTCACCATCCAGGCGCGCCACAGTGGATGCTGCACCCGCGTCACTGCCGTTTCCTGGGCAAGGCACCAGCAAACAAAACTCAGGCAAGCAGTGGCAGCCTGGGGCACAAATCCATGTCATCCCCCGCCCCAGCCTGCAGCCCCACTGTCAGCTCACAGCACCTCTCCTAACTGCAGTAGTGTCAGCACTGTCCCTCCCAGAGGACCCAAACAGGAGGGGGAAAGGCCCATATGTCTAAGATGTGTCCCTCTCCAGAGCTCTGCTCACAGAGGGGATGACAATTTTCAGTATAGACCATGGGGATGGCAGTTAATACCCTGGACACTGAAACTTCATTTACACAGAATTGCTAAAAACCACCTTTCTGCAAACTGTTACAATTTGACAGACATAAAGTCCATCCTAAACCTGCCTAAGGAAAGAAGCTAACCTCTGTTCTTTGCAACAGGAACAATAAATGTCACATCACCTGGTTCACTAAGAGCAAAACAGCCAATTTTATCCCCACTGGTGAAGGGAGCAATCCACTTGTGCTTCTGTTCTTCAGTGCCAAACTTGAGTATTGGCCCTAAATACAAAGACTTTAAGAATTAAGAGCTGAGTTAGTGCCTCTTGAAGGTACAAGCAATCCAGTAGCTCCCTAACATCCAAGTGCACTCCAACACACCAGCACCCACCACAGAAGAGATCCCACTTCTCGCACGCACCCCTCTCCAATATCCTCCCAATGCCAGCCTCGGTTCCACGCCTGTCCCTCACACACACCCTGAGACACTTACATTATTGACGCTGACAATGACGCCTGTGGACGCACAGCCCCTGCTGATCTCCTCCACAGCAATGGAATAGGCCAGGTAGTCGAGGCCTGCTCCCTTGTACTCCTCTGGCACATCCATAGCCAGCAGCCCTAAGCCACCCATCTTCTTCACCTGCACACAGGGAACGGAGCAGTAAGATCCTCTGCACCACCAGTGCAGAGAATGTACTGGGCACAGAATATACTGCTGTGTCTGTACTGCTTTCCCCAAGAGAAGTCACAGGTTTGATTAGAATCTCAATTTCTTCACAACCCTAGAGAATGACCAACATGCATCTCCTATCTCCTGATCACTTCTTTTCACCATCCAAAATGCACTCAGGTCATCTACACAGATACACAGACACATGGAAATAAAGACAGGTCATAGCAGGGCTACACACAGAGGAAAAGGTGCGCACAACTCCTGGTGAAATGGGAATCTGACTGTACAAACTGATAAGTGTCCCCAGGTCCTGAGGACTTGCAACAAGAGCTGTACACAGTCATTGCTGCCTGAGATGAGGATCTTGCTCATTTAAAGGGCTCTCTTCAGTACCGGGAAGTGAAACAGGGAGACACAAACCCACCAGCATTTCTTCAGCCTCCCACCAAAGCTTTTCCCCTAGCATGTCTCCTGTGAGTTGGAAATCTAGCTGATAAAAATCATTAGAATTTTACCTTTGAGTGCTGAGCTTCAGCCTAGGACTGCATAAAGAAAGAATTTTACAGAATGAATGACCTGCAGAACAGTTTGCAAAAAGGTGATTTTTCATTCCCATTAAAGCCAGGTCTTGCTTCCCAGGTAATTTAATTGTTGGTTACATTCCAAATTATTCCACCTCAAGTTCCTCAGCTGGACCCCTAGCTTCTTAACCATAAGGTCTTCAGAGCACCAACTGTCTCACTCTACTTTTCTTGTTAATGTTTGGCAACGTACAAGAGAAAAAACAAGCTTTCCTCTGCTTTTATATTTAAGCTGTCAAGCTTTTGGTGTTGCACAAATAAGACTATTACCAACCTCTGCCTGCTTTAAGAGGAACCAAGAGCACTTTCTAAACAAATACTTCTCCTCCTGTATGGGCACCCAAAACATTAGTCCTTCACATCAAATCCAGAGGATGAACAAAGACAGCAACTGTGCTGCTTTACAATAAACAGTTTATGTTTTTATTTTCCCCCTACACATTCAAGTAAAAAGACTCAAAATCAAATGTAAAATTCTCAGACAGGAACAGTGAAGTAAAGAGGAAAGTATTTTCTTCCTTCCTGACTTTCCTGGCTATCTTCCTTACTCCTTAATAGAAAGAGGGGTGTATGACAAAACTCGCATGCCTCTTACTGTGCTTTCTTGGAGCCTTTTGGCAAACCTAACAGCATATATTTTTCTGGAGCTTAGTGTTTCATTGCAATGAAACAGGGGAGTTAGTCTGCTCAACACGGCACAGAATATACTGCTGTGTCTGTACTGCTTTCCCCAAGAGAAGTCACAGGTTTGATTAGAATCTCAATTTCTTCACAGCCCTAGAGGATGACCAACATGCATCTCCTATCTCCTGATCACTTCTTTTCACCATCCAAAATGCACTCAGGTCATCTACGCTTCCTCACTATAAACCATTTTTATGACTATGTGCAGTCTATAAAAGCATTTCACTGATATCATACGTCAGTTGTATTACAGCCCCCAGGAAACCCGGTAAGAGAACTGAAAATTCAACAGTGCTAAAGCCAGATACAGAGAAACACAAATAGAGAGCTCAAAACATCCTGTATCCCATTATAACCTCCGCACTCAATGATCTCTCCCACAAATCGGTCTAAACTTCAATTTGCTGCTAAGCCAGAG